CGTCGCTCCACGCGACCTGCTTCCGTGTGTTCAGAAAACTGCGCGCGCAGGGAAAGACCAGGCCTCAGCAGAAACCGCGACAGGGTGGCGGGGCCGGGCGGGGCGGGGCCGGGGCGTGATCGGCAGGGGGCGGGGCGTGGGGGGGCACGCCTGAGCAGAGACCCGGATGAAGTGAGAACAGGGGCGGGGCCTGCGCTTTAATGCGAGTCCCTTCCAAGTCTTCTCGGTTTTCCGGGTTTGGAAAATCCGGCGTGTGTCTGTCATTCTGTGGGATCCTGCCTTTCTCAAGTTAATGTTTCAAACACTTTTAAGGTAAAACGTTAGGGTCGAGTTGGTCACCTGTGTGGGAACTCAAGTTGATTTCCTCCTGACAGGTTGACAACGGTTTAAGTTGAAAGCTGTTTTTGCCAGCGGCTTGGTCGCCATTCCTGCAAGTGAGGCTGAAGCATCTCAGCGGTCTGGAAACTGGGATCTCGGTGGGAGGGGCCGACTTCTGGAGGGATTGAATACAGTTCCCGCTATTAAAGTTCCTGCAATTAAAATTAACTTAAACAATGTAATTAAACAAGCCCTGGAATTGTCCACGAAGGGAGTACAAACTGAAATGTGAAATGCAAACTCTGCCTGGGTGGAATGTGCAACTTCATGCCGACTCCCAACAGAATGTCGTTTTCATTTCTAGTCCCCATTCACTCCAGAGAAGAAGACTCAACCCTGTGCTCACGTCCAGAGACTTTCATAGGAGGGTCAAGACCCGGGGCGTGAGGGCTAAGGGCCGTGATAAGTTAGGTCATTAACTTTTGCTTTAAAAAAAGCAATAACTTTTAAAAAATGGATATAATTTCTGGTCTTTTCCTTAAATTTTTTATTCTGTTTCACACTCGAGACTCACAAACTTGAAATATCTTGGTGATAAACTTTGTTGACATCATAATATGCTTACATTAATAATTTCTAAATATAATGTAATTTCAAATTCACCTTATGGGCATTATGAATGTAATTAGAAAACATACTTTTTATTTTAAAATTGTAATCTGTTTTTAGTCTATTGTTTTTTAGTTCTCAATGCTCTGTCGGGTGTGAATAATAAAGCCTGTAAAATCGTCTTCTGAAGACATTTGGATTTACTTTCACTTAAAGAATAATGAATTTTGCAACATTTCTAAGGGTATTTCGTGGAGAGGTTGTTCTCTTTCATAAGAACCCTGAAGAAAGTAAAACTATCATATTTTAAATAGCCTCATGTCTACTGGCAGTATTTTCATTGTACTATCTGTAAGTTAACATCTACTTTGAAGTATATTTTTCTCTCACATCCCTACATGCAGAAGATTTCACCCATTGTGAAGTGATAATCAATTGAAATAACAGTACATTCATTATGAACTTCTGTTGATGTTAAAATATTTTTTAACAGAGAAATAATACTAGATATATCTGAACCTTCACACTGCTGAGTATTTGTTCTTTTTTCTGAAACCCAGTCATAATGTTAACTTTTCCTGAAATAATTGTCTACAGCCATAACACCCTGAATGTACCCGATCTCATCTGAATAATTATTGCTTCATTTCAACGGGGAAAAGTGTTTCACCATAATTCAGAGAACACGTTTGTATCCATTAAACACATCACATGCACATCCGTGTAGGAAAAAAAGCACATTGTACCAATTCCTGTCAGACATTCAGTTCTCTACAGTATTATTATTATTATTATTTTATTTTTTGTCTTTTTTGTGACTGGTAAGGGGATCGCAACCCTTGGCTTGGTGACGCCTGCACTGCACTCAGCCAGTGAGCGCACCGGCCATCCCTATATAGGATCTGAACCCGCGGCGGGAGCACTGCTGCGCTCCCAGCGCTGCACTCTCCCGAGTGCACCACGGGGTCAGCCCTACAGTGTTATTATTTTATTAGTTATATTTATTCATCATCACATGAAAAGTATTATACTAACACTTCTTTTATCCCAAAGATAGTGTTTGTGATTCTTGCAGGGTGGATGAATTTCACAATTATAATTACAGAGTAACTGAAATATCAGGCTATATTAGTACCAGGACAAAACATCAAACGTCACTATGAGTGTCGATTACATTAACTTATATTGAGGCATTAGGGACTGGTGTACATTGGAGGACCCCAGTCTCTCTCCACAAGCTCAGCACAAGCCCTGGGAATTATTTCTAAATCCCAAAGAGTCTTAGCACTGGGCCTCTTTCTATGAAGAAGAATCCTTTTTCCAATATGAGCAACTCTCCGTATTCCTCATATGCTCCTGCGCTTATAGGTGGCCTCTTAGACTAATATAGAAAGTGATCATTCAGTTCTTGCCTGCTGTCAAAGTGGTGGACTCACTGTGACGGTCCTGGCCACTAGTACACGTGTGAGAGGGAAATAGCCAGACCATGAGATAAAGGTTTGTGATTCTGAAACCTCACCTCCCACAAAATTGCAATTATCACTTCAACTGTAGTACCGATGGCAATGCACACTAGGGGAGTTAAACAGTTTATCCCAGTTCTTGCCTATCGGAAACAACTATGTAGTGATCTCTTCCAAAAATAGTGTTAGAGACTTAGGGAGAAGCTTCTTCATTTCCATGGGCCTTGGAGTCAGAGGAGGTTCACATGGAAAGAGAAGGAAATAGGTGTGAGGCATGCGGAACTCTCAGGAAAGTGTGTGTCTCATGGACCTGCTGTTTCCCTGAGAAATTCTTCCACACAAAATGTAATTCTTCCCTATCTCTGAGACCCCCAGATCATGTCTACAGTATGGCAAAAGAAATGGGATGACACAGAGACCAAGAATGATTTATTATGGGGTAAGAGTGAAAGGAAGAAGATGATGACAAGAATGGATAGTTTAAAATAGTAGATGGAATATTCTGACATAAATGAACGATTGAAAACAAATAGTTGGGGAAGAAGATACCAATCTCCCTTGCAGAAGAAATGCAAATAATTTACATAGATATTCTATGTCTACCCTCCAGGTGGTGGAATGTACTCCCAACTTCACAGATATAGGCTGAACATAGTCATTTCTTTTTAGACAGTACAAGATGGAAAGAGGACAAAGGAGTCACTTTAAAATGGATAAACGTGACAATCCAGACCTCCGTCAGGTGATGAAGGTCAACATTCCCAGTGGTAAATCGTGTTCATAGTATTCACCCTTGATAGGATATGATACAAACAGCACTTTTTCTTTTTCGTCTTTCTCCCCAGAATATCGAATGCCAGTCTCATCACGGAAAAAAAAAAAAAAAAAAAAAAACCATTAGACAAGTCCCAGTAGAGTGACATTCACTGGTAGCAGTAATAACAATCCTTATATACCCGACCAGTAGTCCTCAAAACTGTCAGGGTCCTCCAAAAAAACCTAAGGAGGCATGATGACTAGCGTAACTTAGTATCCTGGATGGGATAAGGAAGAAAATAAGGACATTAGACCAAACTAAGAAAATTCAAATAAAGTACAAATTAGTTAACGTCAATTAATTAATTTTAATAAAAATCAAATTAATACAATAAAATTAATAAATTAAAAATTTATTAATATAAGTTAGTTAATATAAAGTATAAATAAAATTAGTAGTGGTTTAATAATTTTTTTAAAAGTACCATAGTAACATGAGATGTTAGTAATAGTGGGAACAGTACAGAGTATATGGGAACCCTATACTATCTTTAAAGTGTTTTTGCATAAATGTAAAACTTTTCTAATAATAATATTGTTTTTAAAAAAATCCTAAATAATAATTTGCAGAATTCGATGAATATTAACTTGCAAACACAAATGAAATAAAAACTGGGAAAATGTACTCAACCAATATTGACAATAGTAGAGATAGAAACCTGGTAAGAGGACAACAGTGAAATTCTAACAATCTTTCAAATACATTTAAATCAGTGCCACTTGAAATATTCAAAGACTGTTGAAGAAACAGAAGTTGAAAGTAACTTTTAGGGGCCGGCCCGGTGGCGCACTGCTACAGTGCGCCGCTTGGGAGCGTGGCGGCGCTCCCACCGAGGGTTCGGATCCCACATACAGACCGGCCGCTCACTGGCTGA